CAAGGGTGCCCATACTAGCATAGTAGCAAGCATGTTAGCCACTGAGCCTCAGCCCAGCCCAGGTGCTCCAGTGACTGAGGATTTGCTATGCAGCTCAGGCTGGCCTTGCTCCTGGTATCTAGCTAGGCTGGGCCACTGCACCTAACCTGTTTTTGTTTTTCATTTTATCTCTGCTAACAGTTAAAATGAAAGTGTTCTAAGGGGATAGAGAGACGGCTTAGTTGCTAAGAGCACTTGCGGCTCTTACTGAGCAGCTGAGTTCGGTTCCCAGCAACCACGTTGGGCAGCTCACAGCTTTCGTTAGCTCCAGCTCTATCCTCGGCAGGCAATGGCATACATGTGCCACACACTCTCACACACTAACATACATACCCATAAATAAAAATTTAAAAGTATTCTTTAAAAAATGTTCTTAAGAGCCTATAGCTTACAGTTTAACTCATGATTTGAACTTATCCCCGACACTTTTCAAGACTCTGCTAAAAGAAAGACTTCAAAATTAGCTTAAAGATAGCCAGGTATGGGCTACACACCTGTTATCCCAGCACCCAGGAGGTCTGCTTTGAGTTCCAGGGCAGCTTGGATTACAAACGGGGACCCTGTTTCAAAAAGAAGGTTCCAGGACATGGACAAAGGGCACAAACAGGATCACACAGGATTTGATATAAGTGCACAGAGAAATGGGCAGTTGCCAAAAGCCCTGCTCGGATTACACTGCCACTCCCAACCCCTCCTCATTTCACTCCAAGTAGAGCCTTTATTCCTTCTAATACCCTATGAGACCCGAGTCAGACTGCCTCTCCTCTGTCCCCAGATAAGGGCACCCACAGGTGTCTCCTCTGTTCATTTTTCCCTCAGCATCTGAGTGCCTATAACTTCACAGGCACCTTGGAGACAAAGGGGGCCTGTGCCAGTCACCAAAACTCTCAGAGAACAGCTTATAGTAGAGACCAGAGATTCTAAGCCTGGGAAAGGGAGGACACAGAAATGGAGTGAAGTCTTTGTAAGGTTCCCTGATCCCACTTAACCCCATCACTGCTTCTCATCGCCACGCACCAGGTACTAGACTCCTCCCTAGGGAGGTTGAGCCTACACATATTTAGCCAGAGTTTGGTGCTTCTGGGAAAGCATGGTACTGAAAAAATGAGCAGACAACCCACCAAGAGAGCCATTTGAAGGAACTTTCCAACATGGAAAGAGTGCTCACGATCGGAAAGTCGGAGGTGACTTAAGTATCAAAGTGATGGGGGGGGGCACTGCTAGTCTCTATTGTGTTTCTCAAAAGCAGGTTCAACCAAATCTACTCTCCTCCCACCGAGCAATTCTGCAAGGCTTTTCTGATTGTTAGAATGTTTCAACTGCACAAACAAACTCCCTTAAACAGCCTTATGTGGGTAACCTTGCTTTAAGTTTCCAAGCCTTTATTACTAATGGTTGGACTTCCAGATTACATCCCCACACTGCACCCATCTGGACAACTCATGCCATATCCGTTTTCAGTTGCTATAACAGAACACCTGAGGTTTTCATAGCTCAGTTTTAGAAGCTTATAGTTCAAAAGTGGGGGCGCAGGGAGGAGGGAAAGGAGGAGGAAGGGGGAAGGAGGAGGAGGAGAAAGAGGAATGGGGGAGAGAGAAGGAAGAGGAGAAAGGAGGAGGGAGGAGAAGGGAGGAGGAAGAAACAGGAAGCAGAGAGCAGGAAGGCAGTGTTCTGGCTGTGTGTTAAGCAGGAAGTACCTTAATCCCCTCTAAGGACAGCTCCCTTGTGATCTGATGGTTTCTCCCTACCACCACTTACAGAGTTACAGCTCTCAAAGCACCACACTGGCTGCCAAGATTCCAACACTTAATTAATCCTTAGGAACAAACTCAAACCACTGGAATCCCTGAACATATAACATGAGAAAGGTGCCCCCCATGGCAGAGGACTAAACCAACAGGAGAAAACAGTGAAAGCGAAGAAGAAAACGCTTTCTGCTGGTTAAAAGGCAGAGAGTGAACCTAGCTTTGCAGTGCCAGAGGTCCTTACCTCTGTGCTGAGCCTTCTATCCTGCTCCTCCACCCATCACACGTTACGGGTTTTCACAGAAGCATGGTGTCCCACTGCCGAGGAGCACGGGAAGTTTTCTCCAATTTCCAAAACAAAGTATCAAATATACATGTGAGGGCTGCAAATATGGACCATTGTTCTAGTAATTAACCCAGATATTTAAGGGTCCATTATAAAGACTTGGGTTTTTTGTTTTGTGTGTGTGTGTTTTCTGTGTGTGGATAAACGCTTGTGCCACAGAGCATGTAAGAAGTCAGAGGACAACTTGGGCTAGTCATTTCTCTCCTTCTATCACCTGGATCCCAGGAATCAATCTCAAGTGATCAGACTTGGCAGCAAGTGACCTTACCCATTGATACAGCTTGATGGCTCCAAGAAAGACTTTAAGAAACAAAATGAAACACAATTACTGGGGTTGAGGATGTAACATGCAGGATCTTGTGGGGGTGGGGGTTCTCCAGCATCATCATAAAGAAATGAAAGGAAAATATTACTGAAGTCTCCTGAGACACCTCATACAAACTCAATGCAAAGGAGTGGATTTCAATTTTAACTTAAAGATCATGGGAGCCTGTCCTGCTTGTGCATCCAAACGACAACCTCTTCTTGCTTTTTATTTCTTTTTCATGTGACTTGTTTGGCTATATGAATCATCCACCTATACTATGATTTTAGTTTTTTATGAATAATACTTCCATTGTATTAGAAGGGGTATGACTTCCATTAAGAAGACAGACACAGGACCAAAGTGACAACTCAGAGGTTAAGAGCATTGGCTGTTCTTCCAAAGAACCTGGGTTCAATTCCCAGCACCCACATGGCAGCTCACAACTGTAACTCCAGTTCCAGAGGATATGGCACCCTTACACAGACATACACGTAGACATAACACCAATGCACATAAATAAATATTTAAAAAGACAGACACAAATTATATGGTTAAGTCACATAGCCCATGAAGTAAAATGAACTCTTAGCACTTTAATTAACTGTATAACATTTATTCTATTTTTACTTCATTTAATTTTGAGACAGGATCTCACTATATAGCCCTGATTGGCCTGAAACTCACTCTGTAGACTAGGCTTGGCCTTGAACTCAGAGATCCGTCCTCCTACCTCTGCATCAAACTCACAGAGAGCCACCTGACTCTGCCTCCCGAATGCTGGGATTAAGGGCTTGTGTCACCACTGCCTGGCGTGTCTACCAACTTGCTAAATTTTCTTAAAATTTATATCTATTGGGGGGGTCACACTTGTGCTATGGCTTAAAGTACAGAGGTCAGAGGACAATTTGCAGGAGACAGTTCTCTCCTCTCTCAATGCCCCTCCCAGGGATCCCATTCAGAGTGTCAAGTTTAGGAGCAATGTAGAGTCATCGATACCTGCTGAGCTCTCTCTCTCTCTCTCTCTCTCTCTCTCTCTCTCTCTCTCTCTCTCTCTCTCTCTCTCTCTAAGACAGGGTTTCTTTGTGGCTTTGGAGGCTGTCCTGGAACTAGTTCTTGTAGACCAGGCTGGTCTTGAACCTCTGCCTCCTGAGTGCTGGGATTAAAGGCTTGCCCTGCCATCTCCCGGCAAGGTGTCTCCTTTTTGATCCAAATACTCATTCAATAAATAGAAGAACTAAAAAGTATCATTGTGTTTGTGATAAAGACTTGCAACACACAAGAGCTCAGTGTCTGCTTTCTATCTCTCCTTTCATGTTGGAACAGGGATGAGTGAAGTGTTGACCATGCTCTTACACAGCTTGCCAGAGAGGGGCTACTGCAGTCCCAACTCACCTCCTAGTACAGAACCCTGAATGAAAAGTCTATTTCCTGCCCAGGGCTGTCACTACTTTCTCACTCTAGCCAATGGGTTTCTGGGAAACTGCGGAGATGAAAAACACCCACCAGGGAGAAGGGCAGTAGCACACTGAAGAAGAGTGCTGCGCTGTAGGGACGGGTTAGATGTCTCGCGTCTTCGCTGAAAGTTTGAACATTAGAAAATGCTGTATTGGCCGGGTAGTGATGGTGCATCAGGAGGCAGAGGCAGGTGAATCTCTGAGTTCAAGGCCAGCCTGGTCTACAAACTGAGCTCTAGGCCATCCAGAGCTATTACACAGAGAAACCCTGTCTTAAAAAACTAAAAGAGAAGGAGGAGGAGAAAATAATGCTGGTATTGAAAGGAGTAAATGAGAACACTACACCAAATCAACTGCATTGACTACTGTATAGAAATCAGCACTCTGGCTGCTGACTAATATCATCGGCAGTTTAAGGCTTTGCTTACAATGACCAACCGTTGGCAGGCTTCTCAAGCCAGAAGGTATTTTTATGAATTCTCAAAGATGGAAAGAAGTACGGACAACTCAGCTTTCAAAACTTGTTCAGTATCTCCAATATCCGTGGAAGTCAGATGATAATGTGAGGACCTAGCATTTTTAGGAACACAAAGATGACAACTAGTAAGATGGCTTGGCAGGTAAAAGTACTTCTACCACACCTGACGACCTGAGTTCAATTCCAGGGACCAACATGATGGAAGGAGAAAACGGATACCCAAGAAAGTTGTCCTCTGACCCAGCAAAGCGCACCATAGTCAGTGAGCACACACAGATACACATACTAAGTAAATGTAATGAATTGTTTTTAAATGACACAACCGAAAAACCTAAGTTTACAGCCCACCAAAATCTGAAGAACTAAATAGTGTGAACACAAGAGTTGGAAAGTCGCTGAGGAAGTGCAAAAAAACCAAACAAATCACAAACCTCCTTCTGTCCACATACACGCAGCCTGCCCACGCCGCCCCGCGAGTCACCTCGGTTCCACCCAGGTAAAGCTAGAACGATGAATCCCGCGGGACAGGAAGCGAGGGACAGGCACCGGGCCACACCGGCCTGAGTCCCCAGAGGTGCAGAAAGGACGAGGGTACAGTCAGAGCCCCAACCCACCCTCCGCACCCAGTCACCTTCTGTGCGCTGGAGCCTCGCACCCGTGCCGTCCGGTCATAGACGTGGCAGCGGATCACCGTGCTGCCCACGTCCAGCCCTAGCACGAAGCGAGAGGGCGACGAGGCCCGCGCGCTCGGCTCCTCGCGCCGCTGCTCTGCACCCGCCTGCAGCCCCGACATTGCGACCCCGCGCACCACCGGCCGCCCAGCGCCGAGCTATAAACGCCAGACCCCGGGCGGAGCGCGCGCGGCCGGGACACCGCCCCCGCCGCGCCCTGCCCCGCCCCTCCGCGAGACCACCGCCCCGCCCCTCAGAGAGATCTGGCCCCGCCCCGCCTCGAGACCCCGCCCCGCCTCGCCCAGCCCCTTCGTGAGGCCCCGCTCCCTCGCCCCGCCCCCTAGCCGCGTGACGTCAGGGCCGCGCGCCGAGCGCCGCGTGGTAACTTGGCGAAGATGGCGTTTACTGCAGCAGTGTACTGGATGTCACGGTTCAGCGACCTTTCCTTTAGGACTTTTAAGTTCCCTTCTGACCCAGATTACTTTTTACGAAGGTCTGCTAAGAAAAATCATGGCACGTGAAGGAAAAGTATTAAGGTTTTTCATGTAGATGTATATGTCTTGCCTGCGTTTATGTAGGTGGCCCGCGTGTGTGCCTAGTGCCTGTAGAGGGCGGAGGAGGACCTGGCATGGTTGTGAGCGGCCCTGCAGGTGATGGGAACCGAACCCAGGTCTTCTGCAAGAGCAGCAAGTTCAGTTAACCACCGAGGCATCTTTCCAGTCCCAAGAAAAAACATTTGAACAAAAGTAAACAAGGTCTCTCATGACTTCTCTAACCAGAGAAGCTTGCGTGTATAATACACAGCAAGAACTAGATGTCCCTGTGATGAGGTAAGGCACCAACGGGCCTTTGCCACACAAAGAAATAAAGCTTAGGGTTATTTTGCATCGCAGCGTCTGGCAGTTGCAGACCTGGAGAATCTGGGAGCCTCAAAGGCGCACTGTATTTCTCACTGCTGCTTCGGCATATGGTAAAAAATGTGCAAGTAGCCCTCCAGCCTCAGGCTCCTGGTCTGTGGGAAGTGGTAATGCCTGCCCCGCCCACCTCCGCTTTGCTCTGTAAAACCGGGGACTGTAGAAGTTCCTTGGCTCTTGTAAAAGTGTCAACGCTAAGTTTCATGAAAATGGTTTGTGGGATAATTTATCAGCTTAAAGGAATATTATCTTCTTATTAGCTTGTGGGCTCACTTGGTTTCCACAGATTTGCTTCATATTTTTATTTGTTTGTTTGCCTCTCTCTTTATAGTCTGTCCCTGCACAACAATACCCATGTGTTCCATATGGCCTCAGCCTGCCCTACCACTGCAGACATTTGGTCAGGAGTGTGTGTGTGTGTGTGTGTGTGTGTGTGTGTGTGTGTGATTCCCACATTGTAATTATTAGTCATGTACATGACTAATAGTCCTATGCTGTCCTGGTTCTCCTGAGAAACTGAAACTGAACAAACACTGGAGGGGAGAGAGAGCCAGGCCTGAGAGCCACAGGTTAGCTTCAGCTTGTTCCTCAAGGCAGTCTTTCACTAGGACTTGGGACTCCCTGGGATTATATAAGCTCTTAGTGTGAGCTCTGGGTATAAACTCAGGCCCTCATGCTTGACTGGCAAGCACTTCACCTACTGAGCTTTCTTCCCTGAGGGAAAGAGGCTTTAAGGAATTTGGTATACAGTCGTGGGGCCTGGCAAGCCTGAAAACTTGAAGGGCAGGCTGACAGGCTGGCAGACAAGGCACATTTCTGTGCCACAGTTTTGAGACTTCCTCCCTCCCCAAAACTGCTCTTGTCCTTAAAACATTCAACTAATTGGGTGAGGCTGAGTCACATTTTAGTGGCAATATTTTTTACTCAGGGACACTGACTTTAGTGTCGATGATGTCTAAAATATACCTCCCACACCAACATGCAAGTAACCTAGTCAAGCTTATACATACAGTTAGCCATTAGTTTCCCTGCCTAAACTAAGGAAAGTTCTAGCCCGGTGTTGATGGTGCACACCTTTAGTCCCAGCACTTGGGAGGCAGAAGCAGTCGGAGCTCTGTGAGTTTCAGACCAGTCTGGTCTTCGGATCTAGTTCCAGGACAGACTCCAAAGCTACAGAGAAATCCTGTCTCAAAAAACAAAACAAAACAATAACAACAAAAAAACAACTAAGGAAAATTCTGTATTACCAATATCACCAATGTTAATATTTGGTCTGTTTCTCACAGCAGTATTTCTTGAGGTTCTTGGACTCTGATACTTCCTTTGTGATCATATTCCAAAGCTCAACCATCAAAGATTCTGAAAATGTAAACCTTAAAAGCTAGAATTTTAAAAACGGTTTTCTAAGTTTTGTTCTATTTCTCTTTAGACAGAGTCTCACTGTACCAGAGCCTGACCTACCACACAAGGCAATTCTCCTGCCTCAGTCTTATATTGGGATTGTAGCAATGTGCCACCATGCCAAGCTTTTCTTTTCTGATTTCAAACGAATCTGAAACCTTGGTGAATGCCATCATCTGAAGAAAACTTGATTTTTTAAATATCTTTTATTCTTTGGTAATTTCATAAATTCACACAATATACCTCTTTAAACATTCAAAAATTATTTTATGTGCATTGGTGTTTTGCCTGCATGTATGTCTGTAAGGATGTCAGATTCCCTGGAACTGAGTTATGAGCTGCCAATGTGGGTGCTAGGGATTGAACTTAGGCACTCTGGAAGAGAGCAGCCAGTGCTCGTAACCAATGAGCCCCCCCCTTTTTTTTGGTTTTTCAAGACAGGGTTTCTCTGTATTGCTTTGGAGGTTGTCCTGGAATTCTCTCTGTAGACCAGGCTGGCCTTGAACTCACAGAGATCCGCCTGCTTCTGCCTCCCAACTGCTGGAATTAAAGGCGTGTGCCACCAACGCCCAGCTGAACCCCCTTTTAAACATTTTTATGTGTATGAGTGTTTTGCTTGTGTGTATATAAGTATATAACATGTGTTCTTGGTGCCCTTGGAGGTCAAAAGAAGACATCAGAGCCCCCTGGGACTGGAGTTACTGATGGTTTTCAGCTGTTATGTGGGTGCTTGGAATCAAACCCAAGTCCTCTGCACAGGCAACAAGTACTCTTACCCTCTGAGCCAATTCTCCAACCCCATACTATTTGTCTTGATTATATCCACCCTCAGCTCTTCCCCTGGACATTTCTCAACATGTCTCCCACCCCTCCCTCTCTATTCTCCCCAACTCACTGGATTCCATTGGTGCTGCCTGCTGGACTTTTAACTGATCTTTTGACTTGATCTGGTCAAGTCAGTCACCAGCAATAGTGAAGTCACTAGTGCAAACGCCATGCCATGTCCCGCAGCGCTCCTCCCCATTCTCCTTTCCTTGCCTCCCTCCTGCCCCTCTTTCATGGTATTCCCTGAGCCTGCTGCAGATGTGCTGTGCAGGGATGAGCACAACTCTTCAGCAAACTATGAGCCTCTTGCATGGACTGCTGCCGACTACATAAAGAAGGATCCCTGGCCAAGACTGACAGCAACACTACTCTGTGTGCATAAATAGAAATATTTACAAGGCAGTTTGACAATGTGAGCACTCAGCAGAACAACAGTCATAGGTTCCCCCCTAGGGCCTCCACAGCCATGGACTTTTGCCCAGGTTTAAAATATCACAGATGAATTTCCTCTTGTGAAGCAGGCCTCAAATCCAGTCAGCAGGTGGTTACCTCCATAACTTTCATACCACTATTCTACCGTTTTAGCTTGCCCAGCAGCTTGGTGGTGTAGCATTTGGAGTTCACTGTGAGGTAGGACCATTGGTGATTTTTCTCCTCCAGCAGTCTGCATAGCTCCTTCCTTCCATCACTATTAAAGCTAGCCAGCAGGGAGGAAGTTTGCAGGTCACTCCAGCTTGAAATCTCTGTGTCCTACAACTGAAGTGTGTTGTGTCTTCAGCAGAAGTCTTACCACCTAGTTAAAGTGGATAACTGAGAACAGTAGAAAGGGCCTGTAGTTTCTTATATAGGGCAGCTTTGTTTCAGTGGGTTTGGTTTTCTGACACAGGATGTGGTGGTTTGGATAAGAATGAGCCCCACAGGCTTGTATATTTGGAAGCTTTGTCATCAGAGAGTGGCACTATTTGAGAGGGATTAGGAGGTGTGGCCTCGTTGGAAGAAGTGTGTCACAGGGAGTGACTGTGGTGTTTCCAAAGCTCAAGTGAGGCTCAGTGTCTCTCTCTCCTTGTTGCCTGTGGATCTGGATGTACATCTCTCAGCTGCTTCTCCAGCACCATGTCCTGCATGCTGTCATGCCGATAATGATTCTATCTCTGAGACTCTAAACCAGCCCCAGTTAAATGCTTTGTTTTGTAAGAGTTTCCATAGTCATGGTCTTCAGGCAGCCCCCCTCTGCCTTTTCTCCCCAGAATTCTCCTTGTCTGGTAGCTCTGCCTATACTTCCTGCCTGGCTACTTGGCAATCAGTGTTTTATTCATCAACTCATAAGAGAAACAAACATACAGAAGGACATCCCCCATTAGTGGTGTCTATTCACAGCATCAGAACATTGACTAAGATACAAGGTCTCATGTAACTCATGCAAGCCTTAAACTATATTGCCAGGAATCACTTTGTACTCGTAATCCTCCTACCTGTGCCTCCCAAGTGCTGGCATTACTGGTAGGTATCACCTGTGCACAGCTACAGGTAAATTTTTCACACAAATAGATATTGGTTGTCAGGGAACTAAACATGCAGGGCTCATTAAAAATCACCACCACCCTAAGAGGACAGATTGCCACTTGAAGAGGCCTGGAGAATTAAAGGGTGTTTCTCCCAGGTTCATCATTCTCAGCCAACACTTCTCACCCTGCTTTGCCCATAGGGAAAAGAGTCCCTGCAGCAGGGGCTTAGAGGTTTCTAAATGACATTTGCTAGTGGGACAGGCAACCCGTTGTGGATTATGCAGAGGCCGCCGCCTCCCATGGCCTTAACTCCCACCTGGTCTGACTAGCCCTCTCCGGCTCTAGGTTTGGCTCTTCTCCCAGGCTCTTTCCCCACCACAATCGCTTCTTACATTGTGTCCTCTTTCCACAGTTTCAGGGTTAGAACCATGCACCTGCCTCCCCCACACTGAAGGAACGTGGACACACTTCCCAGCTAAATCAGAAAGCCACCGTTTCTCCATATTTCAGAGAAATGGATGATACTCCAGGTCTCGATGGCCTTCTT